GTGGCAGCGGGTTTGTAAACGAATAGGCTCCTAAACGGTGCCTCACGGTGGGTATAATGTTTCCCTCATACCGTAGTAACTGGGGGACATGTAGTTGTGCAAAAATTGTTTTGTTTGGTTTGTTAGATGAGAAATGTAGCGACGTACGCGATAAAACATATACCGCCTACCACCATTTTTGAGTCGTTTTTAGGAGAAAATTTCGATATGCGCATGCGTCGGGAAAACTTTGCCGACATTTTGTTTTTCATCGCGAGAGGGTAAACGAGCTCCATAATGCATACCTTGTTGGTGTAGTTGACCAATTGTTTACGGGATCGTCGGTAGGGTTAGGCCTCTGTTGTGTTAATGTAGCAGGTGCACGTTATTAAAAAGGAAAAAAGTGATCTAACCAAACACGGTCTTTACATAATGGTATTGGATCGAACGTGTTTAATATTTTGCGGAAATTTTGTTTTCTATCGCGGGAGTATACAGGTTACACTAGTTGTCTGTGTTGTTTGTGCGAACGTCTAGGCCCTAGCGTGAACTTAGGTAGGTGTGGTAAATCGACTACTGCTTGTCGTCTAGTAGGTGTAACGTGTGTTTTAGTAAAAATTAACGTGATCTGAACAACATTTTACATTAAGGTATTGAATCGAATCATAATGTGCTTATATACCTACAAGTCTTTTACACACGATGAACACGGCAATTGACGTTGCTGTTGGTGTGCAATACGTACAAAACACGACGACGACGACGACAGCAGCATTCAGTCTTGTTAAAATAAATAATATATTGGTCTACCACAAGACTACCATACAGATCAATAAACAATAATTTTCGACAAAATAAAAATCAAGAGTATTTGTAACGATTGAATATGTAGCATAAATGCATTCCGTGAAAACCTGGTGTACAGTTAACTGTACTTCAAACACAGAAACATCGTTGAAATGAAATTCCTCTAGGCCTATATATAAAAAAAACGAAAAGAAAGTGGTGCAGAAAAAAACAAATTGTGCACAGTTACTGTACTTTAAACACAGAAAAACGTACGTGTCGTCAGTATTATGAAGTTTTTTGTTTACGACTGCTGTGTAATTTTACTGGTTTACAACATAGTCATGTCATGTATATTTGAATATGTAAAATAAATGAGTATTCCGTATTCTTAACTCTTTGCAAACTCGAAAATAAATCATTGACTGAGGCACGTTTTATCTACCACCATACAGCGCATGTGTGACATGCAGTATGAGTGGTTGTAGTTATTGTGATAACTATTCTACTTATTACGCATGCGTGTCACTAAGCAGATTTTGAAGAACGAAAGAAAATTTGTTATTGTCAAACCATGGAGGTACAGTATGTCAAACAATGAAGACTGTTTTAGTAGATGATAAATGGATAGTTTGAAGTTCTAAAACCGCCAACTTTGCGCTTCAGTGGTTTGACCAGTCAAGTTCAAAACAGTGGCAAATCTGCCAAATTGTGAAAAATAAAAATGAAGGACATTTTGTGGTGTAACCCAACACCACCCCAGCCCTACCATGGTTTGAGTTAAGGTAGGAGTTTTTTTAGGACATGACAGCTTTGGATACCCGAAAATGTTAATCATACTTCAAAATTTGTTATTTCAAATTGAAGTCCCGATTTCCGATGTCAAAAACATGGAATTATACCCCGGGATTCCCTAGGCCTAGTGTATGAACAGACGGAAATGACGATCGTTTTGCAAGGTGGTTTTCACCTACGATTCAATGATTCAATAACCTATCAAAACAATATTCGGGGGGAAGAAATCAGTATTGCATGATGTAACGAGTTATTTTTAGCAGCGAATCTGTGGAAACACGCGAGTCTTCACGCTGTGAATTAACGATCCGATCAGCCCACAGGCCAGGTCTTTTCAGGTACGGACCGCGGTGTTGTCTATCTTTACTTTAGCAGCAGTTAGCGAGCTGCTTATATTTAGCGACAGTAAACAACAAAGTAATTTACAAGAATGGGCTTTGTGTTTTAATTTATGGCAACCAATGTGAGTTTTAAGCAATTTGAAGAGTTTCAAGTCGGCAGAATTCGGAGACAATTCCTTTATTTTTTGAGCATTTGTTAAATTTATCGACCTAGGCGGACTTACCCAATCCTAGACCCTGGGACCCGGGGAAATTCGTGTACGCGAAGTTGGGCGTAAAGTCGCTGTGGTAATATTTTATAGCATATGAAGAAGTAGCGCGCATCTGCTTAACGCCTCAGAGCGGATTGTGTTTAACATGGGAAATCAACCACATTTGTACTGTCATTTCCAACTATTTCCCGTTTACAGTAAAAAGTTCAGTGAAATGTCAAAGGGTTCACTTTTAAATATAAAATTGAAATGATAAGCTTTAAAATGATTTATTGCTTTACATATTTTGATGTCGGGGAATTGCGGCGTTTTTTAGATAAACGTGAGATGTTTTGAGAAAAATCTGCAATTATTATAGATATCAGGTCAACCTACTTGTTGCGACCTCTAGCAACCTCACATCAAACTTTTTATCGCGATTCGGCTGGATTGACCTTTGTTACGCTCTAGTGAACTCGTACACACTGCATGATCGCTATCTTGCATAGTGAGTGTGCTGGGTATCAGAAAGATACACTATTTTTAGGCTAACATTATCTGTAAGTAATACATGTATACTAGAAATTGCAAATTGCAAGTGAAGTGCTGCGAAGTACAACTGCATTAAATGTTCTTCGAACAAAATTATTTATGCGAGTCAAGTGAAAATAATGAATAATAAAAATATAACAAATAATATGAGCACGACCCATTGTCTATATTAGAACAGTGTTGGTGCCGTGTACAATAGTGTTTTGCTGCAGTGACATCTCTCTGCTGGCGACTCGCTGCTGCTGCTGGCGATGACTCGCTGCTGGCGAATCGATCTGCGCATGTGTATAAAATGGTATTTACATTACAAATAGTTTATGTCATGCATAATATACTGAAGAATGCCTATATATTCAAATTACTAGCTTCAGTCTTTAAAAACTTATTTTGTACATAATATTCTATATGATGTCTTAACTGGACTACTGTATTTTTGTGTAGGTATGTCGCCTACAATATTGCCGCGACTCCCTTGTGTAGCGCTGGTGTGTGTAGAAAAATTACTGTAGGCCTTACAACCCTGGTTTCAACTTTACTGTTAAAATTACACCATGATGTGTAAGTATACATACATTTTTAGTTGGTCACTACTTAATCTATTTTCAAATACTGTAATGTTATTTACGACTTTCAAATGTACTGTACAGTACAGGTAGGGCAAAAATTACACTTTACTTGATTCTCCTGACGCAAAATAAAAATATTGTCATCACGACAATAACAATTACAATATTAATAATAATATTAATAATAAAAAGCCAAGTGCTCTTCAGGTTCTTCTTCGAGGTAAAGGTTAAAAAAAAACAATTAAAATAAATAAAAAGTACAATTTTACCATATAGAGTATGCATAAAAATTATGATAATGTAACACTGGTTAATGAATCGTTTGATTTTTTTTATAGACATGAAAATTGGCAATCATGGCAGAATTCTGTACCATTCGAAAAAGTAAGCGGCTCAAGAAGAAGGTTGACTACAAGGTCATGTTCGGTATTAAATGTTATAATCTGCACATTTTTAAAATTGATGTTAAAACAGGAATTCAACTTTGTAGTTAAGTAATATGTATCTTCAGTATTAAAATTTACAAGGTGTTATTAAAATTTACAAGATGCAACTTTAAAAAAAATAATAACTGTGAAATTTAATGTTTTTTAAATAGACCTTTACTCTTTGAAACATGCTTTTTTGTAGTAAAGCAGGTTGTAAAATGTTTTGTAGCTATTTACTGTGATTTTATTGTTCACTACTTAAAATATTGTTACAAAGTTAAAATTATATTATATTTATGGTAATCAATTAATTAAAATTATCAATGCTTCTTTATTAACTCAGGTATGGTGTTATACAGTGTTAAGGAATTAACTGTTTATTTTTAATGGTAGTCTATGGTCAGTCTTTCAATCTTGCACCTTGAAAACATCAGTTGTGTAATTCATAGAGGTATACCTCCATGAGTGTATGTTAACTTCTAAATTGTAAATAGATGTAGTAATTTCTAATTATTTCTCCTTGGTAACAATTAACATAGATTCATAGTGTTGGTATTATAAACAAATACTGTAAAATATTAAAATATTAGTTATCTACATTGTACTGTATATTTTAACAGTGTAATTATAAATGTAGAAACGTTCAAGGATTTATAATATCCTCAATAAAATATTGTGTTAAGGCATTCTCTCAGCATTAAACAAACCCATAAAAATAGACTAAGTTTCTTGTCTTTATGTGTTTTGTGTTACACAGTGAACATGGTGTTTATACCTCCATGGTGTGTGTGTGTGTGTGTGTGGATGTGTGTGTGTCTGTGTGTGTGTGTGGAATCACCTTTTTATATAATGGAAGAGTTCGAGCAGTGGCGCGTGTCTGTTGCGCGTGTCTGTTGCTCGCTCAGCCGCGCTATGTCTGTGGAGTTTATTTTCTGCTTGAATTTAGCTGAAACTTCTTCATATGAGTAGTGACTGAGAGAGTTTTCTCTAATGTTGAAAAAAAAACCAAGCTTCGAGCTAGCATGAAAACAAAAACTTAAAGTGCTTTAATGACACACAAGCTGGAAATGTTGAACAGAGATTATAAGTGCCATTCGAATAAATATTGACGTTATGACTCCAATGAGATCCAGCGAAACAAGCAACATACCGTGCCCTTCATGGTGAAGTCTGTAAAATACTGATTAAAATGTAACTTAAATATTTTTCTTGGTTGTGAGGTAAATATAAACAGTACACTTGAAATTAAGTAACTCTTGTTTTGTTTGAAGCAACTGTACAGGAATTAGGATATATAATTGCCATCTTAATTTTTTGTCACCAATGAATAGCGTCCCTATTTTTGATATTCGAATGTTGGAAGGTATGTAAATATACAGCATTTGATGGACGGACCTGTATGGGGGGTGTAGGTGTACGTAAAAACATTAGAAATCATTACTGGACTACAAATCCCTCTAAACTACGTATACGTACAAAGGAACGTACACACCCGCAGGGTTCTGGTTTTTTTTATGATTTTGTCCGCTATTCTGAAGTTTTTTCATTTATTTTATTTGCCGATGATTCAAACCTTTCTATTTTCCTACAAGAATGCAACATAACAAATTATAAATACTAAACACTGTAACATTATAGAATTGCTTATCTCTCAATGTTTTACAAACCAATTTCATGTTTTTTAGTAACATTTTAAAAAATCCTCCTGCCCCAATAATATTAATTGGTAAAGAAATTGAAGAGAGTTGAAGAGTTCACAAAATTTCTGTTGATCAGCGATCGGCATGGGATGTCCATATCACCAATATCTGCAATATCACAGCAAGAAATGTTTGTCATTTATAAAGTTAGAGAATTCGTTCATTTTCAAAGGACTTTGTTATTAAACTGTCTCTCGGTTCTTCAGTAGTATTAAACACCATAGGTAGCTTGAATTCTGTTTTGAAGACAAAGAAAGTACACAGGCAGTTTACACGATTTCAGTGTTTTAAAACCTCAAACTAAAAATAGGGTTACTCTGCAGAAGATTCCTATCCACACAGAGAATCATCGATGAATGTAATACATTACCTGACCGCGTCGTATCTGCTTAAACTGTAAAAAACCTTCAAAAATGGCCTGGGCAAATACTGATGAAATTGAGATATGGGGTTTAAAGGGCAAGAATACCTAAAATTACCCATATAATATAATAATCTAATCTATCAAACTACTAAAATTTGCTGAGGTATCACTAGTCCAGCTACTTTAAAAGTAGTAAAGTATTGCTATATCCTTCTAATAAAATCTAACGATCCCAATGATGAATACCGTACTCGCGTGAATAAGCGCACCGTTTGAATAAGCGCCCTTCTGGAATAAGCGCCCCGTGAAACGTGAAAATTTTCTTATGCGTCCATTTTGAATAAGCGCCGCCCTTCTAATTTGAATAAACGCCCCCTAAATGAATCCTGGGACTGCGGATGTTGGCATGATTTGAGGTGTGGAGTGGAATCACATTCCTGTAGTCAATATCAAAATGAGGATATTTATCTTGGACAGATGAGAGCTCCATGGAGACAGTATATTTCCAACTTTCATCTTCTTACATTTGTCTATAGCCTAGTCCTACTCCTTTTCCGACAATTTGCACCTTTAACACATTCTCATCTGAGTTTTCAAGAAAACCTGCAATGATCATGCCATCCTGCTAATCTCAATCGGCCGAATATGGCCAACAAGCTAACCACCAACACTAATTTCATCTGCTATTCTGTTGTTATGTAGGCCTAATACTGTATTCACAAAATTCTTGTCATGACAAGCCATGCTCTCTGGACGATTATCTTTTCCGCCGCACCACCATTCGTAATTTGTGGTTTCCTGATGTCTTTATATAATCGTTTTTCATTCAAAATGTGCCTCTTGAATTTAATAAGTTCTCATAAGAACCCCTCGATTTTCATCTATTTCCATAAGCACCCCCTCAATTTCCACTCTGTTTTGATAACCGCCCCGTTTCGAATAAACGCCCCGTTTTAATAAGCGCCCCTCAAAAATCGCGCGAGTACGGTATGCTGATTGTTAGACTGATTAAGTAATTGAAAAAAATGATTGATATGTGTGTACGCTTACATATTCAGCGCTCATACATACTATTGTTTGTTACTTCACGCGTTAGCGATCATCAGACAGGTAATGGATGATGTTATGTGCTTTGTTTTTGTATGTGTGTGTATAGATGTATATATTATATTGTGTGTATATATGTTTGTATTATGTATATATATGTATATATATAGATATGTGTATATATATATATGTATTTATATGTGTATGTATATATGTGTATATGTATGCATATATATGCATATATATATATATATATATATATATATATATATATATATATATATATCTTTTCTT